ATAAAATATAAAGAGCCCTTTAAATATTATCATAATACTAAGTATTAATAGTAAATAAACAGGGACATGCACAAATTTGTTTAATAATAAGTTTCCTCAAGTTTTGACAAATTGAATAATGAATGTAAACTTATTTATACATTGTTGATCAAAATGTTCAAAGTTCATTTGCATATTTCAGAAACTAATAATTTATTATTTTAGTTTTTTGGTGGAACAATAAGATCAAGTGGATCACAGCATCATTTTGAGCTAGCTGATCAAAGTGACAGATTGGAGGTAAGCAAACAGTGATGTAAATTACAAATCATTTGAGCTAGCTGATCAAAGTGACAGATTGGAGGTAAGCAAACTGTATTGTAAGTTACAAATCATTTTTTTTTACATGCAAGCTATTACTGTAATCTGTCAAATTGTTAATAATTGGGAATGTTAGAATCCAGGTAAATGTATTTTAGTAATCAGACTGGTACCAGTTTGTACTTGTACCTATTCTACCATCTGTTGGTTTCCAGACTGACATCTGTTGGTATCTGGACTGACACCTGGTGGTATCCACACTGACACCTGGTGGTATCCACACTGACACCTGGTGGTATCCACAATGTCATCTGTTGGTACCCAGACTGACATCTGTTGGTACCTGGACTGATACCTGTTGGTACCCAGACTGACATCTGTTGGTACCTGGTCTGACACCTGTTGGTACCCAGACTGACACCTGGTGGTATCCACACTGACACCTGGTGGTATCCACACTGACACCTGGTGGTATCCACAATGACATCTGGTGGTATCCACACTGACACCTGGTGGTATCCACGCTGACACCTGTTGGTACCCAGACTGACATCTGTTGTTACCTTGACTGACACCTGCTGGTACCCAGACTGACACCTGGTGGTACCCAGACTGACACCTGGTGGTACCAAGACTGACACCTGGTGGTATCCACACTGACACCTGGTGGCATCCACAATGTCACCTGGTGGTATCCACACTGACACCTGGTGGTATCCACGCTGACACCTGGTGGTATCCACACTGACACCTGGTGGTATCCATGCCGACACCTGGTGGCATCCACAATGTCACCTGTTGGTACCCAGACTGACATCTGTTGGTACCTGGACTGACACCTGTTGGTACCCAGACTGACATATGTTGGTACCTGGTCTGACACCTGTTGGTACCCAGACTGACACCTGGTGGTATCCACACTGACACCTGGTGGTATCCACAATGACATCTGGTGGTATCCACACTGACACCTGGTGGTATCCACAATGACACCTGGTGGTATCCACACTGACACCTGGTGGTATCCACAATGACATCTGGTGGTATCCACACTGACACCTGGTGGTATTCACAATGACACCTGGTGGTATCCACACTGACACCTGGTGGTATCCACACTGACACCTGGTGGTATCCACACTGACACCTGGTGGTATCCACACTGACACCTGGTGGTATCCACACTGACACCTGGTGGTATCCACACTGACACCTGGTGGTATCCACACTGACACCTGGTGGTATCCACACTGACACCTGGTGGTATCCACACTGACACCTGGTGGTATCCACACTGACACCTGGTGGTATCCACACTGACATCTGGTGGTATCCACACTGACACCTGGTGGTATCCACACTGACATCTGTTGGTACCTTGACTGATACCTGTTGGTACCCAGACTGACACCTGGTGGTACCCAGACTGACACCTGGTGGTACCCAGACTGACACCTGGTGGTATCCACACTGACACCTGGTGGTATCCACACTGACACCTGGTGGTATCCACACTGACACCTGGTGGTATCCACACTGACACCTGGTGGTATCCACAATGTCACCTGTTGGTACCCAGACTGACATCTGTTGGTACCCAGACTGACACCTGTTGGTACCCAGACTGACGCCTGTTGGTATCCAGACTGACACCTGTTGGTACCCAGACTGACACCTGTTGGTACCCAGACTGACACCTGTTGGTACCGAGACTGACACCTGTTGGTACCGAGACTGACACCTGTTAGTACCCAGACTGACGCCTGTTGGTACCCAGACTGACACCTGTTGGTACCCAGACTGACACCTGTTGGTACCCAGACTGACACCTGTTGGTACCCAGACTGACACCTGTTGGTACCCAGACTGATGCATGTTGGTACCCGGACAGACACCTGTTGGTACCCAGACTGACGCCTGTTGGTAAAGAATGTAGCACATACAAAATATTGCCTCAACATCTAGGCAGGAATAAATATGTTCAAAGGTAGTGTTTCCTGTCAAAACTTTTTGCATTTAATAGGATATCGTTTTACTATGTCTACTAGTCTTGCCCAACATTATGAAAACAAATTATAAAAAATTATTTATGTTAATTTTGTGAAAAAAAACTTGACTTTGGTATTTATAGAGTGTATTTTTTTTTCTCCAGCTATTTGGTAGTTTTTCCCTCACTGAGTTAAGTCATGGTAGTAATGTAAAAAATATGAGAACCACTGCGACCTTTGACCCAGAAACAAAGGTATAGTCATTTAAATTTTATTAATATCATTTTGAGGAACTATTTTATTGCAAGGTCAACTCTAGGTGGCGCTGTTTACAAAATGCTTTCTGTTTTATGCTGCTATTACATTATTGTTTAAAAAAGATGACAAAAACATCAGAGAGTTAAGGGGTAATAAATTTTGATCTCGTTGATTGTATTCCGATGATGATGATGCATCTGGATGTCTAAAGTCTCTCATTGCTTCAAAATTCCAGTTTTGGTTCTTCATTTTATCGACAAGCTATATACATACTGTATTTACTTCACAGGATTTCATTTTAAATACGCCAGACATTGAGGCTACCAAGATATGGATGGGTAATGTCGGTAAAACAGCTACTCACTCAATAGTTTACGCACAGCTGTATACGGCCGATGGCAAATGTCATGGTTTGCATATGTTTGTTGTACAAATACGTGATACAAAAACTTTGCTTCCTCTGCCTGGCATAATGGTTGGAGATATTGGACACAAATTGGGTCTGAATGGTCTTGATAATGGGTAAGACTTACTTACAACTCTTACTTTCAAGCATGCAATTCATTTTATTTTATTAGCTCTGCTGTCAATGACTTCTTCTTGAAGCCGCTAGCCCCATTGCTTTGATATTTTATATTTAGGTACTATGGGTAGACTGCAATCAGATTTATTAATTTCATGACAATATCTCCAAATCTCTAATTTTGATGAATAGTTTTGTCATATTTGGTAAAAAGTAATGTTTTTTTTACCCTCTTTGAAAACAGCAATTTCAATTGCTTTGATATTCAATATTTGATATTCTTCAAATCTCTAATTTTGATGAATATTTTTATCACTTTTTGTGTTATTTCAACACAAGCGAGTGGTCTAAAAGTTGGTCCTAAGTAGATCCAGACAAACGTGAACGCAACTACTGTAATCCCTCTGCAAACATGAAGGATTGAAAATTACGGTTCATGCCATGAACATAGTAAAAGTAATTAAACCTCAAGAACAAATGATGTCTTAAACTCCACTTAAATTCATATTGTGCTATCTTCTCCTTACTCATCCACTATCTCAACATAAAAAGAAAATTATCTCCAGACTGAAACTCCATCTCCAATAGTTACTATAAGCATCATCAAGAATAGTTACTATAAACATCTTCTTTTAGATTTAGTGAAATAATTTTTTTACTGAACTTGACAATTCATTTTCTTTCAGATTTTTAATGTTTAACAATGTTCGTATTCCGCGTCAGAGTTTACTGAACAAGACTGGTGATGTCACAAGTGCAGGGAAATACACCACGCCATTTTCGGTAGTTATGTGTTTTTTTTACACTATGCTATATTTGCCCTCTTGAGTTGAGATTGAAACTACCATTTGTTTATACTGATTATTACGGTACTACTTCTGTTACAATTCTTTCATGATTGGTGTTATTTAATATTGCTTTATTGCAAATAAGTACAGGGAATTCCACAGGGTAAATGACAGTGAAAAAATTATAAACTATATTTTTAGCATAGTCCCAGTCTTTCCTGCTAGGAGTATGATTAGTGTGAGTAATGCACAATTAAATGGGAATTCCTAATGATTGCTAACATTCACACTTTTGAAAAACACTAAAAGTTTGTTATATACTACTTGAAATCAGACATACAATACCTTACACCAATATTGCTTCAGCAACTTGAAATTTAGAGCATATGAAAAAGAACGCCAATAACTTAAGCTTCCATCCCATCTTAAGTTCTCTCTAATGCCATTGTATTGAACGACTTAAGTCAATCATTGTTTTAAGTTTTCCGGTTCATACTCAACCTAACAGTATATAACCATTCACACCCATGCCTTATTGTATGACTGATAAGCTTAGCTTGACTGAAGCCTGTTTATTTCCTCGCATCCTTGAAAATAAGTAACCTTTTTTTACGCTAAACAGACTGAATCTCAACTTTTGTTTGTGAAAACAAAACCATATTTATATGTTGTCAAGAATTACTATTGTATTTTTTTTTTTCAGGATCCTGACAAGAAATTTGGAGCATCGCTGGGAACTTTATCTGGCGGTCGTGTTGGTATTGTAAGCGTATGCACAGGTAATATGAAACTATGTGTTTCCATAGCAATGCGTTATTCTGCTGCAAGAAAACAATTTGGACCAACAAATGACAAAGAAATACCAGTACTAGAATACCAATTACAGGTAACAGTAACATTTTATTGAATATTTAGAAAAAGAACATTTCTATCAGTTAATTTGTTAGCAATAAATATATAGGAAACAAAAACTAAAAAGTAATACAACTACAAGTAACATTAAAGCGCGGTGATCTTCGCGCAGCGCGTGTTGGAATTTCATGTAAATAAACAATGTATTTTACACGCGTTGTATACGTCGCTACGAGTTCCATATTGTTTTTGATTATTTGCTCATATGTATATTGTGTATGGTAAACGTAAACCAATGTCTTGGTAATTCTTGAACCACTGAATTGATTTATGTTCATTTCAACAGCAATGGCGTCTGATACCATATCTGGCGGCTACGTATGCAATAGAAATTTTCTCCAAACAATTCATGAAGTATTTTATAGAATTGAATATTGGTACTTTACTTGGATCTGATACACTGGATATGGTAAATATAGAAATTATTGTTACACTCAAATATAAAGTCATTCCTGGCTCATTTTATATAAATCTTTAAAGTTGAAGTCAAATTTTCTTAATTTCTCAAGTTACCTTATTTGCTGTTTTAGTTTAAATCTATTTTAAAATAAGCACAAAAATAATGCATAACAATCTTTTTTTGATGGATGTGTCAAATCTTGTCCCATCTCAATATCTCAAGAACCACTAGGTAGATTGGGATGCAATTTGGTACTTTGTGATGGATCTCAGATTACTAACATTTTGGTACAAATCCTTGCATATCAATGAGATATTTTGCATAATAATTAACTACTTCTAGCATGTTTTGTTGATATCCTAACTCCAGTTTGCTCAAATGGGTTAAAACATTGTACATAATTATGTTTGTGTAGCTGACTGTTCAACACTAATTTGGAATTAATCTGAATATAGCTGATTTGCATGCTAAGTGTGATTTGCATAACTTTTTGAGTATGTTTTTGCTTATCTTTGCAACATTTTGGTCAAATGTATTGCTGTTTCTGTTGATGAATATCTGATATCAGTTTGTGCATATTAATTAGATAATTTGCATACTTATTGACTTTTAAAATTGTTTATTCTATTTCATAATAGTAGTTTGTCCAATGAATAGGGATTAAATATTTTGTAACCTAACAATTGTTTGCTCAAATGAATTGAATCATGGTGTTTTATTAGTTTCTGAATAGAATTAATCCATTAATTAGCACATGCTTTACTGACTGTCTGACTTAATAGGCTGAATTTGGTAAAGAATTGCATGCTGTGGCATGTAGTGGTAAATCTCTGTCATCGTGGTTGGCGAGAGACGCTGTACAGGAATGCCGAGAAGCGTGTGGTGGACATGGATATTTGAGTGGTATGTATTTGAATGAAGCTACAGCACTTTTATGATACTATATAAATTAAGGGAATTCACAAAGGCTAAATATTTTTCATTTTGGGTTTTCACTAATTTATTTAATACAATAATAGCTGTGATTTTGAACATTTGAAAGTATTATGGACACAATTGCACAGGCAATGTACATGACCCTACACAAACTGAGAATCGAGTAGTTGCCATTTTATTGAAATTAGTCACGTGTGGAGGACCGTGGAAAATCATGATGCAGAATGTACACTGTTA